AGTAGATGTCCTAAAGAAATACCCCCGTGGCTCAGAGATGGATAGAGTGTATAAGCACCAGAAAAAGATAAAATGCCACCTTCTGGAGTTCAGAGGTTTGGATACCGTCCTTACTTCACTGAGAATATGTCGCAGAGGAAGAAGGAAATGATGGACGCTCTGAAACTTCATAAACTAGCAACTTTAAATAGAATACAAATAAAAGAGACATTTTAAGATCCATTCAGATAATCAGTCAATAATCAGGATGAGATGAGAAAACAGAACAATGACTACATTATTGTTTTCTAAATTGCCTGTCGCCTCCATTGCCAACTCTGATCATAAAAAGCAATTCAGCTGATTTGATATCTAGCTCCACATGTGTTCTCCCCTTTCGTACCCTCTTATAGAAATGTGCTGACGCATTTCTCACAATGAAGACCAGATGTTAAGGAGGCAGCTGGGGGCAGAAGAAAGAAAAAAAAAAAAGCTAGACAGTCAACCAAATGTCGGTAATAAATCCCACATGCTTAAACACCGACAGAACACTGTTGACACTCCGCCTTTAGCTCGGTAACTGAGGAATTGTTGCGTAACTCGGAAACCTCACACCTCACCCATAACGACATGAGAAGCTTCCTATGGCCCCAGTCCTCACCAGTGAGTGTCTACTGTTGAAAGTGATCACAAGAGTAGTTTAATCCTGCCCAAGTACATTTCACGTGAAGTATGGAGTTGTCAGCGTATGAAAGACAACCATGTTGGGAGTCTCCTGTCAGTAAAGAACTGTGTACACTGTTTGCAGAGTTCGCTTGACATAGAGATTTGTTTTGGTTTTAGAGCTATCAATGCTTGTGTTCCATGGTATGTCACTGGGGGAAATGCAGCTTTCCAGATATAACAGCCTGGGAAGGGAGAGTTATTAAATCACCGCTGATGTCTTCCATAGATGCCTGCTCTCTGTGAGTCAGCTGTATGGAAATGGAGAAAATGCCGTCTTTATGGCCTGGAAGGAAACACCTACTACCTGTTTCTTCAAGGAGTTCATGCTTTCTTCTTAGGGTATTCACTCCTCCTTGTGGACGTTACTACTGGGACTGAAATCTTACTAAGCAGGTCCACTGAGGAAGTCGAAGGAACTAGGAATGGGCCACCAGAGTTTGTGTGTGGCATGGCTCCCAGAGGAACGTGTGTCAAGCCTTATTCCCTAGAAGGATGAGGAGAGTGGGGAGGATGGGGCTGGTAAAGAAAAGATGGGAAGAGAAAAGAAAAGAGGACAAGGGCCTGGTTAGGGAACAGAAGTGGATCAATAGGAGTGAAGGGGACAAGAAAGTTTGAGGGTAAATGGAATCATCATAATTACATGCATGTATAGAAAGCTCCTAATTAAACTCAATATTGTGTGTAATTAGTTAATTCTAATAAAATACTAACGAAAAGAATCTCTCTGTCAGCCACTCCAATACTTGAGCTCAGTGAAAAGCACTGTGCATTCAAGAAGTTTTAGGGAGTGCTGTTTCAAGATGAAGAGGGAACTAGAAGAGGTTAAATGTAATCCTGTGGGTAGGATTCCTTTCCTTAACTAACCCTGCTAAAGCCTCTTCCAAAAAAAAAAAAAAAAAAAAAACAGGGAGTTTGTGTGACTGACTGCCTGGCCTATATGGCTTAAACAGATTTGAAAACAGCATTTTTTTTAATTTTATTTTTTTCTTATCAGTTACATTTTATTAACTCTGTATCCCAGCTATATCCCACTCCCTCATTCCCTCCCAATCCCACTCTCCCTCCCTCATCTTCACCGTGCCCCTTTCCAAGTCCACTGATGGGGGGGACCTCCTCCCCATTCATCCGATCCTGTTTTATCAGGTATCTTCAGGACTGGCTGCGAAGCCCTCCTCTGTGGCCTAACAGGACTGCTCCTCCCTTGGGGGGTGGGGAGGCCAAAGAGCCAGTCATTGAGTTCCTGTTAGAAATAGTCCTTGTTCCCCTCACTATGGGAAACCAATTGGTTACTGAGCTACCACAGGCTACATCCGAGCAGAGGTTCTAGGTTATATCCATACATGGTCCTTGGTTGAATGTCAGTCTCAGAAAAGACCCTGTGCCCAGATATATTTGGTCCTTGTGGAGCTCCTATCCTTTCCCCATTAGACTAACTCCCCTTCTTTCATATGATTCCCTGTACTCTGCTGAAGGTTTGGTCATGAGTCTTTGTATCTGCTTTGAAAACACTGCTAGTTAGAGTCTTTCAGATGCACTCAGTAGACTTCTGTCATACATTCAATGCACATCCCATCTGTCTTTCTAAATGAGGATTGATCATCTTACCCCATGTCCGCTCTCTTCTATCTTTTTTAGGTGTATAGATTTCATTATGTTTATCATATTTTATAGGTATATATAAGTGAGTATATACCGTGTTTGTCTTTCTCCTTCTGGGATATTTCACTCAGGATGATCTTTTCTAGATCCCACCATTTGCCTGCAAATTTCATGATTTCCTCCTTTTTGATTGCTGAGTAGTATTCCATTGTGTAAAAATACCACAATTTCTGTACCCATCCTCCGTTGATGGACATCTGGGTTGTTTCCAGGTTCTGGCTATTACAAATAAAGCTGCTATAAACATGGTTGAGCAAATATCCCTTTTGTGTACTTGAGCAAACTTTGGGTATATACCTAGCAGTGGTATAGCTGGGTCTTGAGGAAGCACTATTCCTAATTGTCTTAGAAAGCGCCAGATAGATTTCCAGAGTGGTTGTACCAGTTTACACTCCCACCAAAATGGAGGAGGGTTCCCCTTTCTCCACAACCTCTCCAGCATGTGTTGTCCCTTGAGTTTTTTATCTTGGCCATTCTGATGAGTGTAAGGTGATATCTCAGGGTCATTTTGATTTGCATTTCCCTGATGGCTAATGAGGTTGAGCATTTCTTTAAGTGTTTCTCTGCCATTCGATATTCCTCTGTCGAGAATTCTCTGTTTAGCTCTGTTCCCCATTTTTTAATTGGATTACTTGGTTTGCTGCTTTTCAGCTTCTTTAGTTCTTTGTATATGCTGGATATTAGCCCTCTGTCAGATAAAGGGTTAGTGAAGATTCTTTTCCAATCTGTAGGCAGTTGTTTTGTTTTTATGATGGTGTCCTTTGCTTTACAGAAGCTTTTCAATTTCATGAGGTCCCATTTATTGATTGTTGGTCTTAGAGCCTGTGCTGTTGGTGTTCTGTTCAGGAAGTTGTCTCCTTGAAAACAGCATTTTTAAACATTCCCATGAGCTTCAAAGAAGAGAGGACCGGCTGTCACAGGAAGAGGATGGGTATAAAGGATTAGAAATCACTGATCCTCTGGCGATTTCTTTGGTGCTGTCCCTGAGCTTGTGGTTCTGGATGAGACCTGATAGACTAGGATCAGATGGAAAGGGAGGAGGACCTCCCCTAACTGTGGACTTGGAGAGGGGCATGGGAGGAGACGATGGAGGGAGGGTGGGATTAGGAGGAAGGGGCTACAGCTGGGATACAAAGTGAATAAAGTGTAATTAATATAAAAATAAAAATTTAATTAAAAAAAAAAGAAAGCAGGAAAAGCAAGCCATGTTGCCAATCCAGTAAGCAGCACTGCTCCATGGCCCTGTATCAGCCCTTGCCACCAGATTCTTGCCCTGTTTGAATTCCTGTCCTGGCTTCCTTAAGAATGGACCATATCATGGAAGAGCAAGCTAGATAAACCCTTTCCTTCCACGTTGCTTTGGTCATGGTGTTTCATCACAGCGATCGAAACCCAAACTAAAACAACTCGGCTGCTACCTCTTGCTCAGCCAAGCCCACTTTGCTCACTTCCTCTTTCAAGTCATCTTTCCTCAATTGCCTAAGCAAGTCTGAGCCCATTGTAGCTTTTAAGACTTGACCATCCCTTTGTTTGAACATTCACTTTGCAGTGGGTGAAGCAGTAATTTTCTTCTATTTTGGTTTTCTGTAGATCTCTCTCTAGTTACAATGTGATTCCTGCATTATCCCGGCATTCAAGGTCTAACCCATATAGCTTCTTTCCAGTTTCACTTATTAATCTATAGCTTCATTTGGATTCAGTTTCCAAACCATGAGCTTAACATACCAAATACTTCTCACATGGAAGCCTATCAGTCACCTTGATGATGTCACTGTCACTCTTTGGCTCTTTTTCATTTTTTGAATCAGAGTGTTCCAAGTCTTCTGCATTTTCCTAGTTTACATCCTTTCCAGTTTTATGTGGTTTCCTGTCCACAGGAATATTGTAGCAAATATGAAAGTGCATTAAGGTGAGATAGAAAATCCTGGGTCATCTACTGACTGAATGGGCTTAGTAACTTTGGAGAATGTATGAACCAGATATTCTGTGCCTCAACTTCTCACTTGTAAAATGGAAAGAGAAATATATATATGTCAAACACTCATGACACTAAAATCAACATTTAAGCTCTGGTATACTCAACACCTTGTATATGGTAGAAACTAAATAATTTAGAGAAAAATAACAAGATAAAAAAAGCTCTAGAGAGAGAGAGAGAATGCACACATGAAACTCAAATTATCACACATGTTAAGAAAGTGTCTGACCACTAAGCTATAACCCTAGTCTTTTTAAAACTTTATTTTTAAACAGGTACTGTCTTTGATAGCTCAAGATAACCACGAATTTTCCATTCTTCTACGTTAACTTCTGGAGTAACTGGGATTATAGTTGTATCAACCACAACCAAATGTAATATTCTTTTTTAGCAAAAGACTTATTCTTTTGTGTCATGACATTTTTAAAGAAACACTTCTTAAATGTCCTTTTGAGATTCCAATTTGAGTAATTATGTTCAAGTTCCTTTAAATTGCTCTTATGTTTCACACACATACATATGAAAATTGCACTCAAATGTTACTAAACACAAATTAAACACACAGCCCTGCATTTTTACAAATATAAGTAAATGTTTTATATACATCATACATTAGCTTTATACAATTACCTTGCTATGTCTTCTGTTTAATGTTCAGACAGTCTTGGTAACTCTGAGAAACAAGAGCTACAGCGAGAGAAGTGGGAGAGGAAGAACTTGCGCAGCAGAAGCCTGTCCCGGCGCTCCATAAGCAAGGATAGATGGGTGGAGACACTCGTGGTGGCTGACACAAAGATGGTCGAGTACCATGGAAGTGAGAATGTGGAGTCTTACATCCTCACCATCATGAATATGGTACGACAGACTGCAAGAGGGGACAGCAACTGCCAAATATATCCCTAGAAATGCTCTTCCCCTCGTCAAAAAATAGGTTTCCCAAGCATGGTGGTACCCACCCGTAATATTGCAGGTCTCAAAATGCTAAAAGCAAACAAAGTTAAGAAGAGAGAGATTTTGTTGTTGTTCTCCAAAACACACACACACATTTATTACTGGCTTAAGTATATAGTAATGGAAATTCAGCACAAATAAATCTGTTCCTTAAAAATGTGCACTCCGGGAAATTTATAATTCACCATTTGCATATGTCTATTATTTGCCAAGTGAGTTGGTACTTTTAGAATGGCTTTGCTTCATTAGTTTCTGCTAGTCTTAGTCTATGAGAAAACTTTGCCTAAAAGGTTTTTCTTCTTCTTCTTCTTCTTCTTCTTCTTCTTCTTCTTCTTCTTCTT